TGGCGGTTCTTGTTTTTCCTCACCGAGTAAACCCGTTGTCGGGCTGTCTCCGCATGGTCTTCTTAAGTTGTGGTTGTTCGGTCCGGAGCTCTACGATTGTGATGACGCAGGACTTTGTGAGCTGCAGGAAGGTCCAGATGCGTGTTGATGGCGCGGGCATCGGAGTACCCCGTCTCCAGAGTTGGCCGTTCTGCTTTTGTTTTGCTCCGGCCCAAGATGGTAGTTCTCTGGAGATCGGAAGTATGCCCAGTTTCTCCAAAGTGTGTTGCTACTTGAGAGGTAGGGTCTTACACCCGAGTGGCCGATTTGTGCTTTGGCAGACGATTCTTCTATTTCCGCCGGGTTTCTCCGACACACTTTCAGTCGCCCTCATTGCAATTTATTTTGTAGATGACTGCTGAGGTCTCAGCGGGTGGCAATGGGTCCCTAGGTTGCATCAGGCGGCTTCGAATTGCTGCCTGGAGTCGATGGGCTATGCTTCTCTGGTTTGTATCCGTCAAGACACCGCCTCGGAGACCCCTTTAACTTGCGTAATGGCCCTCCAGACTTCAGGTTGATGCTCACTTTGCCGTCGTCTGTGCACTCGGCGCCTGATTCTCTCAATAAAATGTCTGGGATAACCACTGGCTGCAAATAGGTTCTGAAGGTACAATCGTTCGGCTCTTTTATCTTCTGGCGTGCTGCAGTGTGTTTCGACTCTTTGGAATAGACTGAGGACACAGCTACAGTGAGTGATCGATCTCATGAAATGTTGGCTGAAATTCTTAAATGCTTTTTCGACTAGGAAGGATAACTTAGGCGCAGTTTTAATACTGAATATCTCGCGGCATAATCCTATAATATTTCGGACTCGGCAGAATGTCACCTTTTGAATGCACTGCTTTTTAATCTCCTGTAGAGAATTTACTCGGTGAACAATGACTACTTAAGTGGAATTATTTTTCCCATTGATTGTCGATAGTCTTGCAAATTCAAACATATTTTATAGAAACCCCAAACAAAAATATGCTTCCTTTCATTCGTTCGATAGGGACTCACGTCATCTTTATATTTTATACTCGAAGAAGGAGTATAATTAGTTTTTCAAGACGTTTTCTAATTCCCAAAAAATTTGGAGCCTGATCAGTCGTTGCATTAGCGATGAGGGATTTCAGTCTGCAAGGTGCATGCGTTCCGCGTAAAGAAGATCGTGTATTCTTCTATCCTTTAAAAAACTATCATATAGAGTCTATAAAGTTTTGCAATAGATGCGAACTATGTTGTACATTTCACGAGGAACAGTGGTAAACGGACAGGTACGATGCTATATGGATGGACCTTTCGCGGTCTTAAAATGTCGCATAAATAGAAACTTTCTTAAAACCCAATTATACTCCCTCTTAGAGTATAAAATATAAAGATGACTTGATTCACTATCGAACGACTGAAAGAAAGCATATTTTGTTTGGGTTTTCTATAAAATATATTTGAATTTGCAAGACCATCGAAAATCAACGGGAAAATATCGAGAACAGTCTCTACAGGAGATTGAAAAGCAGTGAATTCCAAAGCCGACATCCTGGGGAGTACGAAATATCATAGGATTATGCCGCAAGATAATCAGCATTACAACTGCGCTGGAGTAATCCTCCCTAATCGGCAAGAATTAAATACTTAAGTAGCATTCATTTTTCACATTGATTTTCTATGGTCTTATATATTCAAATATATTTTGTAAAAAACATGCATAAACATATGCTTGCTTCTACTCAGGTAGTGGGAAGTCGCATTGTGTTCACATTTTATACCCGAAGGAAATAAATTTTGTGGATTTGAAAGAGTTCCCCAATTTCCGAATAATTTTGAGCCAGATCAGGGGGTTCAGTAGCGTTTAAATACTTCAGTCAACAGAGTGCATCCTTTTCGTGTGAGGAAAATCATATATTCCTCTATGCCTTTAAAAAGACAACATATCGAGTTCATAAAATCTTGCAATGGATGCGGACTATGCTGTACATTTCATGAGGAGCATTGATAAACGGACATATGCGATTCTGTGGGAATTGAGATCGCACGGTTTTAAAAATCTCATAATAAGAGACTTTTTTAAAACCAAAAGACAACCTTTCGTGGTGTATAAAATGCAAAGGAAATGTAATTTCCTACCAAATGAGTAAAAGAAAGCATGCGTTTATGCATGTTTTCTATACAATATATTTGAATATATAAGACCATCGAAAATCAATGTGAGAAATGCATGCCACCTAAGTATTCAATTTTTGCCAAGTGCGGTTTCTACAGGAGATTAGAAAGCAGTGTATTCAAAAGTCGACATCCTGACAAGTCCATAATACTATAGGATTATGCCGCATAATAATCAGTATTACAATCCCACCTAAGTAATCCTTCCAAATCGAAAAGGCATTTTAGAATTTTGGCCAACATTTCATGAGATCGGTCACTCACTGTAAGCCATTTCTACCACATCTTCGGATTATGTTACACGATAATTAATATTACA